GCCGGGCGGGGAATCCCAGGGCGTGGGTGGGCGCGTCGCAGGGCTGGGAAGGCTGTGGGCTTCGGGGCGCCTTTGCATACTTGGTAAATGGGAGGTGATGCTGATGAACGAGAGCTAGGGCCCGCCGCCGGGGGCCTGGGCCAGGATCTGGTGAGGACAACGAGGAGAGGGGCTTTACCTTGGGAACCTCTGTCTATTGGTGGGCATGCTCAGCTAACCTAAGCACCTGATGATGTCACATGGGCACTCTTTTTTTTCTATTTAATGAAATCAAAAGGCCCGTTTGACGCAGATTTTCCAGAAACTTGTTTTCACGTGCGCGCCAGAAAGCACCGTTTTTTTCCCAAGACCATTCTTACAGTTATCACCTGCTTTTTGAGGGAAGAACCCTCTCTTTAGGGCTATTTACCCAAGCAACTAGCATTGTGCCTGGAACATACAAACGTATATTAATTGGATGGATGAATGGAATGCTTATCTAAGCATCAAAGGTGGTATAAATGTTATGTCATTATTGTAAGCCCCCTGCAGGGTCAGAACAGTGACCCCCAATTTCTAGGGGTCATATTCTGAATGAATGGTGGAGCTAGGATTGAAATCAAGTCTAATTATAGAGGTTGTGAACATTTCTTTTTTTTTTTTTTGAATATTTATTTTTTAGTTTTTAGGTGACACAATATCTTTATTTTTTTATTTTTATGTGGTATTGAGGATTGAATCCAGCGCCCCGCACATGCCAGGCGAGCCACATCCCCAGCCCAATATTTCTTTTTTTTTAAAATTTTAATATTTATTTATTTTAGTTTTCCACATACACAACATCTTTGTTTTGTATGTGGTGCTGAGGATTGAACCCGGGCGCAGGCATGCCAGGCGAGCGCGCTACCCCTTGAGCCACATCCCCAGCCCACCAATATTTCTTGTTTCATTAGAAAGCGGTCTTGGAAGCCAGGTGTGGTGGTACGTGCCTGTAGTCTCAGCTACTTGGGAGACTAAGGCAGGAGGATCAGAACTTCCACGCCAGCCTTGGCAATTTAGTAAGACCCTGTCTCAAAAAATTAAAAAAAGTGCTGGGGATGTAGCTCAGTGGTAGAGGAATGGTGAGGAGACAGGAGTTTGATAGAAGGAATTGTTAACTAGATGTGAAGTATTTTAAGTATTTGAAAAGGTAAAAGGTAAAAAGTGCACACAGAGGCAGCAACTGCAGGAAATAGCTGCCAACCCTGTGACTGAGGGAACAGGGATAATGTCGAAGATTAAAATTTATAAGTTTAGAGTATAGGCTTTTTGGGGAGTGGGTACTGGGGATTGAGCTCCAGGGCACTCGAGCATGAGCCACATCCTAGCCCTGTTTTGTATTTTATTTAGAGACAGGGTCTTACTGAGTTGTTTAGTGCCTCGCTTTTGCAGAGGTTGGCTTTGAACCTGTGATCCTCCTGCTTTAGCCTCCCAACCGGCTGGGATTATATGTGTGCACCACCGGCCTAGAGGATAGGCTTTGTAGAGCTGCAATGCCAGCCTTTGGTCATGGGGCATTGCTTCAGCTGGTGTTAGGGTCCCTGAGCTTGAAGGAGAGGTCTTGGGATGAGGCTGGCCCTGCAAACCTGGCAAAACTGGCAGCCGGATTCAGTGGCTGCTTTGGGCTGGCACTCCCAGTGCCAGGGGAGAAACAAGGTGCTTCTCTTGCTATCCCTGCTGATTGTACCAGGACAAAGCAGAAATGTGGGTTGAAGGTCCCAGCCCTGCACCAAGGCGGGGAGTATTGGAGGGTGACTTTGGAGCTGGGAGGCGGTGGCTTTCTACTGGGCATGTCCAGATACCCAAGTCCCTGGTAATTATTTCTTCTTCCTCAGGCTGGCTTTGGCACAGTGGACCACCTTGATCAGGAGAGAGAGACTGATGCAGCCATGGATCGACTAGGCAAGTAGACAGCGGAGACGGGTGGATGTCGGGAGAGAGGGAACAAAAGAGAGAGGACAGTCTGTTGTGTCTCGTTTGCCTTTCCTGTTAGTCGGTCCTGTGGGCCATTGAGTTGCCTTCTCTGCCCAGTGTTTCAGCAGTGTCCTCATTTGGAAGCTATTACTAGAGCTTCCATGAGGGAAGCTTCTCAAGTTCTATGTCCTTAAATATGTCACTGAGCCTCTCTTCATCTTTAAAATGGGGCTAATAGTACCTACCACCTAGGGTATTCTGAGGAGTGGGGAGAGGATCCCAAACTGTCCTGTCTAATATAGTCCACTAGCCACTGATGCTCGGTGAAGGTAAGTTAAATAAAATGAGAAATTTGGTTCCTTATGTACACTGGCCACATTTCACGTGCATAGTAGTCACATGTGAGTAGTGCTATTGAGCAGCACAGATAATAAAACATTTCCATCAATGAAGAAAGTTCTGGTGAATGCTGCTGATCTAGATCGAGCTCATAACATGTATATTCACATTTAGCACAGTGACAGTGTTGTACAGTCATTACCATTGTCTAGTTCCAGAACATTTCATCACCCCAAAAGGAAATCCTGTAGTCATTGAATAGTCACACTCTATTCTTCCCTTATCTGAGTCCCAAACCATTAATCTGCTTTCTGTCTCTTATCAATTTACCTATTATGGATAGGCAAATGTGAGTCAATTATAAATGGAATCACAGAACATGTGGTTTTTGGTGTCTGGCTTCTGTCAACGCATCGTAATATTTTCAAGGCTTGTTCGTGTTGCAGCACGTATCAGCACCTCAGTCTTCTTTATGGCTGAATAGTTCCATGCATGGATAATACCACATTCATGTATCATCGTCCGTTGGTGCACATGTGAGGTGCTGTCTGCCTTTTGGTGATTGTGAACTGTGGTGCTGTGAACATTCTTGTTTTGTTTAAAACCTGTTATCAGTCCTTTGGGGTATATATTTAGGTGTGGAATTGCTGGATCATATGATAATTCTCTGTTATTGAGGAATCAGCTAAGTACATTTTGGCTCAGTTACGCATTTAGGAATTGGCAGATGAGATTTGAGCCCAGGCAGTCTGGCTCCAGATGCCATATTGTGAATATTACCTTGTTGCTTTGAGCAGTTGTTCTTTATTTATTTATTGCATATATATTTAGTTGTAAATGGACACACAATACCTTTATTTTCTTTGTTTTTTTTTTTTTTTTTTTTTATGCTGGAGATTGAATCCAGTGCCTTGTGCATGCAAGGCAAGCACTCTACCAGCTGCCGCTGGGATGGGTTCTGCTTTTCTGCCTGCATTTCCCCAGAGCCCCTTTTACCTGCACTCACCCCTGCCATGCTCTTTGAGGCTGAGGGGAGGAATTGAAAAGCAAAATTCAATGTAAGCTTGTATTGTGAAAGCGTATCATTTGCCAGAGTCACTTTGGTGTGGTGACGTGTCCACCACCTGCTACTGTGAACTGTGCTCAGCTCCCTGTGCCAACTGCAGAGCCCTGATGGTCTTGTTGAAGACAAAACATCGACTCTGCTTCTAAAAACATAAACAGAATAATATTTTTGTAGGTTCCCAGGTGACTAAAGAGCCCCGTACACTTGTTTTACTGCCCTCTTAGTAAGTCTGCCAAACATTTTTCAAGCTCACGAGCAGGTCTTCTCTGGTTTGTCAATTTTAAGACCTTCCTTTTGTGGATTTCTTAGCCAGTGGAGCACAGAGCATCCCTAATGACATTCCTACCCATGGCGAAGGCACACATTCTGAAGAGGAAGGCTTTGCTGTGGAGGAGGAGGAGTCTGATGGGGAACTGAATACCTGGGAGCTGTCAGAAGGAGCACACTGTCAGCCCAAGGAGCAGGCAGCTGATCTTTTCAATGAGGACTGGGACTTGGAGTTGAAAGCAGATCAAGGAAATCCTTATGGTAGGTGTGGAGTTTCTGGGGTGCTAACAGTTTAAAAGAGGAGTCCATATGTAAGAATTCTGTCTCTGATTTGTTACAGGTCAGAAATTTTTGTGACAGCTGCTATTTTATATCAACTACCCTCCTAATTTTTCAGTGGACTCCATAATATAGCACTTTATTTTCACATGGAAAAAAAAGTTCCTTTCTAGAAATCTTTGTATGATATGATCTTTGTGTACCTACCCCCTTGCTTCCTCTCCACTGCTTAGAACCTTGGATTGTTCAGAATGACCGTGGATGCACTTATTCAGAAGGGTGCAGTGTGTGTGTCTGTCTGCACTTATGTGTTATTATAGAAAACAAATCAAGTGTCTGCCCCCTAGGCATTTTTTTTTTTAAATTTGTTTTTACCCTCCTTCTTTCCTTCAGTCTGGATTATTTTGTTTTGGTACTGGGGATTGAACCACTGAGCCACATCCCCAACTCCTTTTATTTTTGATTTTTATTTTGAGACAGGGTCTCATAAGTTGCTTAGGGCCTTGCTAAGTTGCTGAGGCTGGCCTCAGCTTCCTGAGTTGCTGAGGTTACAAGTGTGCACCATCGTGCCCAGTGTTTAATCTTTTTTTTTTTTTTTTAAATATTAGCTGTAGATGGACACAATACCTTTATTTTATTTATTTATTTGTATGTGGTGCTGAGGATCAAACCCAGTGCCTTACACATGCTAGGCAAGCACTCTACCACTGAACCACAGCCCAGCCCTTAAGTCTGTGTTTTGAAACTGTCTGCAGATGCTGACGACATCCAGGGGAGCATTTCTCAAGAGATCAAACCTTGGGTATGCTGTGCCCCACAAGGAGACATGATCTATGACCCCAGTTGGCACCATCCACCTCCACTGATACCCCACTATTCCAAGATGGTCTTTGAAACGGGACAGTTTGATGATGCCGAAGATTGAATGTGGAGTTTTCTGCCTTATGGATAGGTGGGTCCTCTCAATCAAGATCTCTCTTCCTGTCTTTGAGGTGAGATGTCCTAATTGAGACAATGTTCCTAATGGTTCCTGAGCCTGGGGTACGCAGACTGGTATGAAAATAAGGTCCCACTGTTCTCCCCAGCTCTGTTGTTTCTGTTGTTTGTAAGACTCCTCCTTGGGATGTGTGCGTTTTCGTGTCTGTGTCAGGAGGACTTGTGTTCTTTATAAATAAAGGTAGGAAAAAAGTCAATACGCTTTGTCTCCTTTCTTCCTTTAAATTAGGTGCTTCTGAGCAAGGCCCTACTCACTTCATTTGAAGTCCCCAAAAGACATTTTAAGGATTGACTATCAGGGAACTTAAAAAACAACTACTCTGGGAAAGAAAAAGAATTTTAATTTTGCTTCTGTAGATCTGACACTTTTTAAAAAATATTTATTTTGTAGTTATAGTTGGACACAATTCCTTTATTTCACTTATTTATTTTTATGTGGTGCTGAGGATCGAACCCAGAACCTCGTGTGTGTGAGGTGAGCACTCTACCACTGAGCCACAACCCCAGCCCCTAGATCTGACAATTTTGACAAGTGGTTGGAGTCCAAGAGACATTGTGACTGCCGCTGATTTCTGTTCCCATTAGTTGGGAAAATGGAACACTGACTTAGTTTATAAGGATTTTCTGTAGCCTGAGAAACTAAATGGCAAACTAAATAAGCCAACAATTATATAATCCTTAATTGGCAGAAAATTTTGTTTTTTCATTTAATCTTTCTTTTTAAATTATTTTTTATTTAGTTGTCAATGGGCCTTTATTTATTGTTATGTGGTGCTGAGGATCGAACCCAGTGCCTCACTCATGCTAGGCAAGCGCTCTGTCACTGAACCACAACACCAGCCCCTCTTTTTAATCTTTTTTTTTTTAATATTAATTTTTAGTTGTAGTTGGACACAATACCTTTATTTTGTTTATTTTCATCTGGTGCTGAGGATTGAACCCAGTGCCTCACACGTGCTAGTGCTAGATGAGCACTCTACCACTGATCCGAAACCCCAGCCCTCCATTTAATCTTTAACCTTTTCATTTATATGAAGTTACCCCCCCCCCACATACATATAATTTTTAAAATTTATCTCATTTCAAAGTTGAGGATGCAAGACCTCCCTAAGAGGTCTTGAGTGGCCTAACTCCAGGGACCCAGATGCACACAATATGTTCTCTTCACGGGCCTGGCATATGAGAGAACATAGCAGGGGAGTCTGGGCCCCATCTAGGATTGTTTCTCATCTGTCTCATCAAAACTGAATCAAGGAGAAGTTTGAGATCTAAAATTGAAGTAAATATCAAAGCAGTTTAATTAAACATATAACTATTTGAATTCTTTTGTCTTAATTTTTTTTTTTTTTAGTTGGAAACAATATCTTTATTTGGCTTATTTATTTTTTATGTGGTGCTGAGGATTGAACCCAGTGCCTCACATATGCAAGGCAAACTCTGCCACTAAGCCACAACCCTAGGCCTTGAACTCTGAATTATTTTTCTTTCCTTTTTTTTTTTTTTTCTTTTTTGTAGTACTGGGGATTGAACCCAGGGGTATTCTTCCGCTGAGCTTTATCACAGACCCTTTTATTTTTATTTATTAAAGTTTTTCCTTTTAGTTGTAGATGGACACAATACCTTTATTTTTTTATTTTTATTTTTATGTTGTGCCAGGGATCCCAAGCAAGCACTGTGCCACTGAGCCACAACCCCAACCCCTTTTATTTTCTGTTTTGAGAAGGGATCTAATTTTCCCAGGCTGGCCTCAAACTTGGAATCCTCCTGCCTCAGCCTCCCATGTTGCTGGTGTACAGGCATGTGCCACCATACCCAGCTAAACATTTTTCAAATCTGATTTAAATATTGTTTTGGTGTCCACCATGTAACATAGAGAAAGATGTAGAGAATATCAGTAATCAGAGGCAGGAATGAAGAAAAAGAAATATGGAGTTGGAAGTGGAAAAATACTAATGACATGATCAGTGCCAATATAGACTAAAACTACTCTGAGAAGATCATATATAATTACATGAGCAAGTGATAAAACTTCAGAGGTAATAATGAACAAAGGAAACCAATTTGGTTAGGTGATGACAATGTGTAGGCAATTTTGCTCTTATACATAATATTTTTCTGCTTTTTTTTGTCAGAGGGTATTTTGGGGATTGAAGCTAGAGCCTTGTTCATGCTCAGCACTTGCTCTTCTGTTGAGCTATACCCCAGCCACTGCTTTTATATATTGTTATTTTAATCTAGATTTTATACTCAGGTATTTAAAGCAGACGCAAGATGTTATTCTAGAGCAGAATGTGTCCTATGTCTAGTCTTCCTTTTCTGACTAATTAGGAAACTTGCCTTACTCTGCCTCGGTGGTTGGTCTATGGTTTGCCTCCCTCTTTGTGGCTCACCTCTCAGCATCTCTTTCCTGGCCAAGCATGACAATGTTCAGTTAATATTGTTCCAAACTCAGTTCCCTTCAGTAATGGGTACAATATTTGCCTTGTCTGATCATATACCAGACTGGTGATGGAAAGGAATCAGTTTTTTGTTATTATTTTTTGGTACTGGGAAACTCAGGGATGCTTTATCACTGAGCTATATCCCAAGCCCCTTTTAAAAAATATTTTTGGAGGCAGGGTCTCACTAAGTTGCTTAGGCCAGCCTTGAACCTCCTGCCTTGGCCTCATGAATCCTTGGGATTTGTGGGTGTGGGCCACCACACGTGGCAAGAACCAGTTTTTGAAGAACCTTTAAAAAGTCTTTGTGGTCAAATTATAATCTAATTTGATTAGATTAATTAGAGTAGGATTAGTTGCGATTCTTATTTAATTTACCATTTTAAAAACAGTACATAGGACCAGCGTATGGTACACTCCTATAATCTCAGCAGCTTGGGAGGCTGAGGCAGGAGGATTATAAGTTCAAAACCAGCTTCAGCAGCTTAGTGAGGCCCTCTGCAATTTAGGCCCTATTTCAAAAAGGGCTGGGATGTGGCTCAGTGGTTAAGCACCTCTGGGTTCAATCCCTGGTACCAAAAATCTAAACCCCAGAAAACCAACATATAGAAGCAGAAGAGAGAGATGTCCAGAAATGGTGAGTTTACAGCTGTACTTTAATCTGCAAACCTTTGATTCAAAATAAGTAAGCTTTGTTCTCTAAAACCAGTATATGTCTGAGAAGACATGAATTTGTAAAGGAGATTATTTATTTGATAAATAACAAATCATGGATATTTAAAAACCAATTGGCGGGGGGGCTGGGGATGTGGCTCAAGCGGTAGAGCGCTCGCCTGGCATACGTGCAGCCCGGGTTCGATCCTCAGCACCACATACAAACAAAGATGTTGTGTCCGCCAAGAACTAAAAAAAAAAAAAAAAAAATATTAAAAATTCTCTCTCTCTCTCTCTCTCTCTCTCTCCCCTCTCTCACTCTCTCTAAAAAAAAAAAAAAAAAAAAAAAAACCAACTGGGGGTGGCTAGGGTTGTGGCTCAGGGGTAGAGCGCTTGCCTCACACCTGTGAGGCACTGGGTTTGATCCTCAGCACCACATTAAAGAAAGAAATACATAAAGTTAAAAAAAAAAAAAGAATTGGGTTGCGGTTGTGGCTCAGTGGCAAAGAGCTTGTCTCTCACATGTGAGGCACTGGGTTTGATCCTCAGCATCATATAAAAATAAAGATATTGTGTTCATGTATAACCAAAAAATATAAAAAAAAATTAGGTATGGGGGTATAGCTTAGTGGTACAGTATGTGCTTAGCATGCACAATCCCCCCCCCCACACACAGTTGAATTAAAGGAAATACTACAATGTTTTCTAATCAGCTTTTTATAATGAAGACTTACAATTTTAGATATTCAACAAAAATGAAAAAAAATCTTCTGTTTATCCGAATCTCTGGTACTAAGTGTTTTAGTTGGCTTTTTCGCTGCTGTGACTGTAGGACCTGACCAGAGCAATTTTAGAGGATGAAAAGTTTATTTGGAGGCTGGGGTTGTGGCTCAGTGGGAGAGCGCTTGGGAGGCCATGGATTCAATCCTCAGCACCACATATAAATAAAATAAAGGTATGGTGTCCAACTACAACTAAGAAATAAATATTTAAAAAAGTTTATTTGGGGGCTCACGGTTTCAAAGGTCTCAATCCATAGGCAGCAGACTTCACTCCTCGGGGCTCAAGCTGAGGCTGAGCATCATGGCAGAAGAGTGTGGCAGAGGGAAGCAGCTCACATGATCAGAAAGCAGATCTCCACTTGTCAGATAAAAACATATACCCCAAAGCCATGCTCCACCCGCCGTGCCCCACCTGCCTTTAATTACCACTCAATTAATCCCATTAGGTGATTAATTCACTGACTGGCCAAGACTTTCATAATCATTTCTCTGAACCTTCTTCCATTGTCTCACATGTGAGGTTTTTGGCGGACACCTCATATCCACACCATAACACTGAGCTAAGAAGCCTCAGTCTCAGAATTGAGGCTGTTGCTTACTGGCCTTAACACTGTCTGCAAATCCTTTTGTGCTATTTGTTACAAGTCTTGCATTGAGCTGCTCTCTACCCATTTGACCCTGGTCAGCTCTGTGGTCCTGATGCTCAGGTACTGGAAATGAGCAATCTTCTCTTCTCTCTGGCTTTTTATTTTCTGTATATGAAATAGTGAGGGGAGAGAGGAAATGCTAGAGGTGCAAATCTGGGACTTTTGGAGGTTTCTGTAGGTTTCAGCACTGAGGGAAGTTGACATTGTTGTGTGAGGCTGGGTATGTTGAGAAAGAGAGCTGAACTTGAGTAGGAGGAAGGCTCTTTACCTCGAGGGCCATAGTGGCAGCAGAGGGTGAAAACCAGGTGAGTGTAGGTGCCACTCTTCCCAAATCTAATAAGAAAGTCTTAAGGAAGAAGAAGTGGCTCTCTTTTATAAAGTGAAGCCAAGGAAGACGAAGCCTAAAAGTCCTTTTTGGACATGGGAATCAGAATGTTCACATGATGTGATGATTGGAGCCACGGCATTTGTGTGACCACTGAGCTGCTGCCTGTGGCACTGTTATCTCAAGGTCTTGACTGGGGCAGTGGTGACTTCTGGCCAGTTTTTCTCAGAATGTGTGAGGGGAGAGAAAAGGAGAGAATAGAGAGGGACAAAAGTGGACAGAGGCTGCTGAAAAATATAGGTACTAAGGGGCCGAGAAGAACAAATGAGAGACATTTATTCTGATACTTCT